GGCATGCGCGGCCTAGCCGTTGCTTCAGGTCACGGAGTATAGACTTTCTGCTCAACGAGCGAGGTGACTGCGTCGGCGGGCCTCGACATGCGCTACACGGATGCGTCGCTAGAGGCGTCATCCGCGACGTCTACTTCCCTGTCGCGCACCGACCTACCTCGTCTGCCACGGATGTCATCTCACGTGAGTGGTTATAACCAGGGCGCGCGTAGATGTATGTATGTTATATATATATATATATGTATGTATTATTATATATAATTATTTATTAATATATATTATATAAGTAGAGAGACGAGAGCTCTATACGTATATATACTCTCTCTGCTCTCTCGCCTATATATATAGTATATATCATACCTATATATACTATATATATATGCAGGATGAGCAGACGAGAGAGAGAGAGAGAGAGAGAGAGTGAGCCGAGGAGCAGACGAAGAGAGAGACGAGAGAGACGAGAGAGAGGATGAGAGAGATGAAAGAAACGAAGGGAATAGAGATAGATGGGAAGGAAGCGAAAAAGAGAGGATTAGAAGGGCATAATGACAATACAATGCATGAATGAATTGCATGGAATAAATGACATCAATGATCAATGAAGGAACAACGAACGGGCGGAATAAATAATATTACTAACAGCATGAATCGAAAGCGAAACGCAGATGTATTAAATTACCCGATCGCGATATCGTCTTTCCCTCGCGTTAGGCTTGTGCAGGTGGCTACGAACTGCTCAGTGCTACGACACCACAACGGCCAGCATTGTGCATGCGTGCAACGATTCGACAAAGTTACTACTTGGCGGTGGCGCGTCATGAACTGGCGGCGGCCGCTCTACCCTCACAACCAAGACCTCGAGCGATCACGATGCCGCTCTCACTTCGTGACATCATTGGTCGGGCGAAACGCCATCGAACCTGAAGAACGCGGTTTACTCAATCGGCGTGAACAGCCAACAGCAGCAGCGCCATCGGAGGCAGCTTCCCACTATAAGGTCCAGACGCTACGTTGCGGTCAGCCAAATCTTACCACGCATTACGCGACCCTTTTCGGCACGACGTGGCGCCTCTGTCGGCGGATCGTGGCGTGCTCGCGCGTGGCTTCCCCGTCCGCATTATCAGAGCTGGCGTCCCGGACGTTTTGCCTTACGTGTGGATAAGCGCAGTGTTGCGAGATTAATTCTAATCTGACGGATCCCTGAAGATTGCTTGTTGTCGGCGTGCTGCCATGGGCGCTCCTGGCGACGTCAAACGCCATATCGCACTCATATGAGTTGTCATTCGTTGAGATTGTACCTTATCAAGAGCTAGATAATAACATCATAGTTTATTTCTTATTCTTGACCTGTATGCATACATTTATTATTATTATTAAATCGTTTATTGGATGTAATTCTGTGATACAAATACATGTACTGACGACAGTTTTGTTCATGTGAGAAAAAATCTGATAAAGCAATAGTGGTTGAGTTGTTAAAATGTATAAAATTTCCTGACCTGATACAGCTACAATACAATGCCTATACAACATGAAGAAAAATATATACAAAAAAAAATCAGCATATTCCTGTACTAGTAAAGTGATTTTAAAAGGTAAGTGTTTAGTAGGTAAAATGATGTTTTTCTGTGTGTGTGTGTGTGTGTGTGTGTGTGTGTGTGTGTGCGTGTGTGCGTGCGTGCGTGCGTGCGTGCGTGCGTTGTACTCACAGGCACTTGGAGCGTTTCAATAAAATATAATACTAAATAAATACGAAATCTTAATGTTTCTCTAGGCCTACCCTCTTTCACCTATTATTGCCGACAATTTCCTGTGAATGCCGTCCAAGACTCCAAATGCTCATCTGCAACACACGCTGGCAGATGTGTTGCAGATG